CAGGAAGTTGTAGAGTGCAATGAGGTCTCCCCTGAGCCTCCTCTTCTCCAGGCAAATAGTAGGACCCGAGGAAATGGCAAGAAGTTATACCAGAGGAGGTTTAGGTTGGATATTAGGAGAAACTTTTTCTCTCAGAGGGTGGTCAGGCACTGGAATGGCCTGCCCAGAGAGGTGGTGGAGTCGCCATCCCTGGCAGTGTTCAATAGGCTCCTGGATGAGGAGCTACGAGAGATGGTTTAGTAGCTTGTGGCACTGATAGGAATGGGAGGGTGGTTGGACTGGTTGATCTTGCAGGTCGTTTCCAACCTTGTGATTCTGTGATACCCATATTACTACAACTTTTACAAGGGTCCTGGGGAAAAGCATTTTATGAAACAGAAATTTACTAAATGCAACAGATTGGCAAATCACAGTCTGGGAAAACTGCCTTTCATTATGTTAACCTTAATGGAGACTAACAGCAAATATAATTTATTTGCATATTTACACAAGATTTGAAAATATTCCTCTTTCAAGCAATACAGCACTATTTTGTCTAGAGGAAGACAGTATCTAAAAATAAGAAAGTCTCACGATATATTTTTGAGGGATTTTTGCAGTTGAAATCTGTCTTTTATAGTTGTTCTAATCTGAAGTTGTCCAATATTACACTAAATATGATAAAACCAAAGGGGAAAAAAAAACCTCCTTTGAAAGTTTTAAACAATCTGTAATATGCTAACACAGAGGAAGAATTAAAAGCAGACACTAGAAAGTGTCCCACATAGAGTTAAAAAGCAATGTTCACAGTGGTTGCTAATATACTATATGGACGAACACACCCTCCAAAATGCTATCTTGGGAGCTTCAAGGCTGAAATATGCCTTCTGAGAAGGACATGCAGAACTCCTACTCTAACTTCCCAGAAAGGACATAGTCTTAGAAATGCAGCATGCAAAAAAACCAGACATTTTAATAACTTCTCAAAAGATTCAGCATTTTTCTACTTGCAGTATTATCCATCAGCTGCAAAACCAAATGTATTAAGATAGTATGTGTAGGGAAATTAAAGAAACCTCAGACTTAGCTTGTATTTCATAAAACAACCTAAGAACAAATCACCTCACCTGCTCTTCAGAATAAACACCTTCTCGAACAACCTACCTCAAAACAAAGCCTGCCTGTATCCTCATGGCAACCTGGTACTATCCAAATGCAACACTACTATAGAACTTTTTTTGTTTGTTTGTTTAAATTGTGACTTCCTGTAGCTCATTTCACTTCTTCCCACAACAGTGATAAAATAGCATGATCTCATAACCAGTTTTTCAAATTGAGTTCCGTCCACCATAAATCCATTTGGCTTGTAGGGTCCCATTCACCATCCCTGTTTTGGCATGCACTGTAGGAACAGTTTCAGCAAAAACAAAGCCTGACAGTCTCACCTAACAGATCTACAAGTGCAACTCATACCAGTTCTCTAAACTCAGTTCAGAGTTTTTATAATATCTGCCACACTGACTATAAATAAAGCTTAAAAATCCTGTGTAAATGTAAAGCATTATTAAATAAAGCAAGTAAATAAAGAAAAATATAGGTAATAATGTGAAAAGGTTTATGTTTCAAGCAAAAAAATATCTATAATTGCTTTCTACAATAAATGACTATTGTTGGCTATATTTGTATTTCAAAGTTCAAGCACCAATATTCCTTAAAAGATCCAGGTGTGCCAATGTTTTTTTGGGGGGGGATTATGGGTGTTGGTTTTTTTTTTTTTTTTTTTCTCCATTGTTGGTTCTTCATTTGTTTATGTCAGTACATGCACTGCTTGTAATATTTTAGAGGTCCAAAGTTCTCATTTGACTATTTACTTCCTCTCCTTCTTAAAAGATATCAAAAAGCACAAAGTAATCCAGTATTATAACTATCTGAAAACTACTGACAATTAACAGTCCATCAGAAAGCAATTCAGACTTTTAAATACAGGCATCCAGGGCTGTTTTAGATTGACATATCCAAAACATCTCACAACATGCATGGTACAAAACACAGGACAACGAGTGCCAATTCGAAGTGGCAGCACAAAGCCGGAAATTATATCAAAGAGAGTTTAAAGTTGCTTTTTAGATACCTATGCTGAAGTAACATAATAGCTCCCTTAAAGAGAAACTTTAAGAAATAAAATTGTGTGTTTATTGTACTAATGCTACATAAGGCTAGACTGTGTTGATCCAAGAGCCTGCAGCTGAAATAAGATCTTAGATGCAACTTTTAAAATATTCCGAGCCCAAACATGAAAAAAAATAAGTTATGCAGAGTTTCATTTTTTATCTTACTCGTGAAAATCTGAGACGCTCCAAAAGCAGGACAAATATCAGCCAGACACTCTAGACACTGCATAGTTCCACCTCTTACTACAGCATAATTTATCACCATGATAATTTTACAAATCTCTTGTAATAATAATAAAAAAGTGAACACTGAACAGCAGAGTGAGAAAACTTAAACAATACACTTTATAGCAACACAAAGTATTCTGCAACTGAACCTTTAGATAGTTGCCTTCAAAGCAGGGTTTTTTTAATTTGTTTGTTCTCGCATGGATCAGCTCCTAATGTCTATTAGAAGAAAGTTGGTAAAGACATTTCAGAACTTTTAAAGCTTTCTTCATCTTTCTGTCTTGTGTTTGCAGTGCATCTGAAACTTAATTTACCATCCAAGGAGGAGTTATTCTCGTCGAGAAGAGTAAAATGGAAGGTACCTACAGGAAATCATGAAGTGGCACTAAAGTTGAGCATACCTTCAGTGCTAAGGAAGAGAGCTGAAGAAGGCTCAAAGTGAACAAACATTTTAATGGAAAATGATGACAATGACATACACAGGCCTCATCATTCCAAGAGAAAAATGAATTGTTTTCTCTCTGAAGCTGTTCAGCTGAAAAAAATTATATGTATGTATACATATATACTCTTAGGTATGACTACAAAGACCAATACAGTCAGATCTTGAAAACGACATAACCCCCTTCAGTTCTTGGGCAAAACTGAAGTACTGTTTTACAGTTCTTTATCTGGTCTACAAGAAACAATCACTTAAAAGAAAAATCTTTAAGAGCAAGAGTAGAGATATCTAGTGAACTTTTAAGGTTCTAGGACTATTTATTATACATGGGCTTCCTAATAGTCAACTGTAAATATTTACTTTGATCCTGTACACTAGAGTCATCTGGTGACACTCTCCCTGACAGTGGTACAGACGTGCCCTCCCCTCTTCCTATCTGACATTAACTAAGACTGAAGTGACTCAAATAATCAATGTTTTCTCTGTAGTCAATGTATAAACTCTGAAGAATCTCTAATCACAGAATCATAGGGTTTGGAAAGGACCTTTGAAGATCATCTAGTCCAAAGCTTGGGATCCTCATACATTTTTCATTTGCTCAACTTAAATATATTTGCTTTTCCACTGCTCTACTTAAATAAAATAAAATGTGAACAGTTTTTTTTTTCTTCTTCTATTTAACTTATGCAATACACCATTAGAAAACAGTGTTCTTGATAAACTTCAGAAGACACTTTTCCATGCCACCTAATCTCTGTAGGTGTCTTTGTTTATAATTAATGTGCTGACTCAAGCTTGACACGAAGAAGAACCGCTTGTTTTTACACTAAAATCAAACCAAATTGAGGGCAAGCCTCTAGAAACACAACAAACATTTAATATAAAATGGCTTAAAAATAATGACCTAAAATTCTGAAACATACCTAAGAAGGTTTAAATGCAAGTCAAAATGTTCCATGGTTAAAAATCTACTTGAAAATGTTACTTTCATCTAACCTATTACTCCTTCTAACCTAAGATAAAACATGTCCACCATACACTCCACTTGTCTACTGCAACAGAAAATAACGTGAGATTGAACACTGGAGGTTATCATCAGGAGCAAGTCTTTAGTTGTAAGAGGAAGAAGTTGTTCTTTTGCCAGAAAACCGTTGTTCGTTTCAGCTAGAGATTAACTGGACCACAGAACCATGGGAACACAAATAATTCAGGCTGGCAGGGCTTCAGGACATTTCCAGTGCAAACTTCTCCACAAAGTAGGCACAGACTGTGAGGTCAGCCAGGATACTCAGCAGAGACCACAAAGCCTCTTTGGCAACCTGCTCATGGTATAAAAGCTTTTCCTTGTATTGAATCTGAACCGCTCCTTTTTCAATTTAGTTACTGCAAAGAGCCCAACTTCATCTTCCCTATAACCTCCTTACACATACTAGCAAGGCACATCTCCAGGTGGAAGAAGCTCAATTTCCTTAGTCTCTCCTGCCATGGAAAGTGTTCCAGTCTCCTCTCCATCATTGTGGCAGCCTCCGCT